CTCTAGAACGGGTGTTGGTGTCGACTTAGGTTTAGAATTTTTTGGACAATTTCTCTTGTTATGATTTGGTTCTTTGCAAATTGAACTAGTCATTACTGTCTCCATTCTTGGCAACTTTCCAGCTTTTCTCACTTCACCAATTTCTCTTCTTCTGTTCTTTGGTGGCCTACCAGACATTTGTCTTGCCTCAGATGATTCAACCATTGGGTTTCCACTTTCAGGCCACATTTCCATGTTTGGGACTGGTTGAATGAAATGAGAATATGTCGTCATATATGTGTCTTTTCTATACCAGCTAGATATTACTTGTGATGCATCCATGTTTAAGTAGTTCATTGTTGCTATACCCTGTGCACATGGGATACCTTTTAATTTTCATGATCTGCAACTACATTTTTGTTGACCCAAGTTCACAGTATGCTTGTATACCCCTTCTAACACTTCAAATCCAACATCACCATTCCATTCAATGTTGCACTGCATTGATCTTGTTACATTTGTATTGAATACCATCATTGCCATTGGAGATATTCCATATGTCCATGTTTCATCAAATGATCTTGACTTACTCACTCTATTCATCACCTTAACTCTAATTTCTTCCGACATAGTTACAATGGTCTTATTCCTAGGTCCCAAGATCAAGGAATTGAAACTCTCCGCCATGTTGTTATCTATACTATCACACCTTGAAAATGTCTGGATAAAAGCTTTGCACCATATCTCCTTGTTGTATTTGATAAGGGATTCAATAATGCCTATTCCCAGCTTGGACAGGGCATTTATATTGTACTTAAATTGTGCCTCAAATGTTGATCTAGCACAAGCCCAAAATTTCTTCCTTCTCTCTAAGCCTCTGAAGTTATGTGACCAATTTGCTAATATGTGTCTAACACACATTCTGTGCTCACACTCTGGAAATAGTTCATCTACAACAGCTATTAGTCCCTGTAGTTGCAAAGCAAAACAAGAAAGTTAAATTTTGATCCAATTAAATTAGCAATTAAATTAAACATAAACAAAAGAAAGATATTCAATTACCTTTAGCATATCACAAATGATAGTTAGCTGGGAACCATTTCCTAGATTAAGATCATATTTCGAAATAGTCATGAACCGTTTTCATGTCAACTTGCTATCAATATCAATTACCGCCCATGCTATTGGATATATTTGGTTGTTTGCATCTTTAGCAACAGCTATCAAAAGTTGACCCCTACAAATTTCCTTTAGAAAACACTTATCCAGCTCTATACATCTTCTGCATCTTTGTTGGAAACCTTTTTTCATAGCATCAAAACAAATATAAAAAAAGTGAAATTGTTTATCCCATTTCCTGATTCTGAATCTTTAAGCTTCACAACACAAGTGCTACCAGGATATGTTTGTAGTAACATATCCTTGTAGTCTAGGATTCTGTTAAATTCTGCCACATGATCCCCTATAATTTCCTTTAAAATAATTTTTCTTATTTTTAAACAAATTGTCTTGCCTACATGAACATTCAACTCTTTCCTCACCAATTCTTATATCTCCCACCCTTTTATACTAGGTTGAGAAATAATCATATCTTTCAATACTTGCATAAGAACTTTGAATTACACAAACTATTATTGGTGGTCCTGGTACATTTGTGCCTTGGATTGTATGTCTTGATAGTAAAGTTTTCACTCCTTCCTTCCTTGTTTGCATACAACAGCCATGGACAACCACTTCACTCTCACTCTAGTACTTTCATTCACATACTTATCTAACTCAACTCTTTTTTATAGCATATTTTGTAACTGTCTCTCTAAAATGCTTTACACTTTCAAATACCAAATCACACTGCCATATTACAATATCACAAGAAGAATCATATACCACCCTATTACTCTTCTTTCTCCCCCTTAAACTTCCTCCTTTAAGTTCTTCATCAAAAACAGGTTCTTCTTCATCACTTTGAAAACTATCACAGTCAGAACTGTCATAGTATGACTCATCCTCTGTTAGCTTACCCTTGAAATTCTTTTTCCCTTTTTCAATATCCTCATACCCTTCATCAAATCCAACTTCACCTAAAAAAACCTTTTGGTTTTCCTTCTTCTTTCTCCTCCTACTTTCTTTAAGTTTTCTCACATCTACCTTAACAATTCTTAACTCCTCATGCACATCACTTCCATAGTCAATAGACTGGTCAGAACAGACGGAATCACTGCCTATGTCTTCCTCTACGCACTTAGCTCAACTTTTCTTTAATAAAAGGTTCAGTTCCTTGTTGGACAGTTAGTTCAACTTCTTCTTCAGTATCAGTTCAATCTATTGAAGAACAATCATCATCACTTTTTTGTTCGACCCTTGCAACCCCATCATTTTCAAGTCTTTCAGTAGCTGGAAAGGAAGAAGAGGAACCTAACCCTGGATCTGATTTTTTTGGTTGTGCAGTTAAAGATTCTCCGTGTGCATTAAAAGACTCAACCACTTGACTTAAAGATTGACTAATTTGACCTTCACTGGGACCCACATCATCCAAAATAGTGTCATTACACACATAAATATCTGTTGTGTCCCCATCACGCATAAATAATGTCATGCTACAAATGTCCATGTCATTTTTCAATTCCACCAAATCACCCCTAGAGATGGAGCTGCATATGTTTTTCCTAACTTACTAATCTCAAAAGACTTAGCATAATCTGTAAGTTCAGGAATTGATAAATGATCTTCTTCCATATTTTCTACATATTCAGTCCTACCCCCAACATATATTGGATCTACCTCACTCACCAAGATACCCCCAAATTTGAACCTTAAATTGAGGTACCTATTAGCCATAAGTCAACCTATAACCACAATAACAATCAGTATATTGTATAATGCAAGCAACAAAATCGAAGCATATACAATAACATCAAAACAGAAGCAACAATTGGTACTTAGTATAGTAGACATATTACTCATCAACATACAATAGGCATCCCACACAATATACTTAAACAAATTACAAAATACCTTACCATTTAACAATACCAGAAACCCTAGCACTTAAAACCTTAATTTTACCAAAAAGCCTTAATTTTAAACTGATTATCAGAAACCTTAATGCTTATGCATGAATAAGGTAAAAAAAACTTCATAATAATACATTCATTAAGTGAAAATTCTAGTTGAAAACTATTAGACCCCTAATCGGAAACTCAATCGGAAACTATGGCGAAATCTCAAACAAAAAATAGGGCAAAATATGAATGAAAAGTAAATTAAACATACAACAATACATCAAGCCTTCACGAAATCGAGTGGATAATCACTTACTTGTTAACAATTTCAGACAAGATCCAAAGAACCAATCGACACCAATCGACCAAACACTTCACGAAATCTAGCAAGTCTTTACTCCAGAACTGCAACTGGCAAAAATCTACTCGTTACTTTGTCGATTACACTTGTCAAATCTACTCGTGGGAGGTTTAGAGAAAAGCAAAGAGGTTTAGAGCAAAACGAAGAAGCTTCTTTGAGAAGTTTTAATCGATGTGAATTGTGAAGGTTGGTCCCGAAGTTTTAATTATCTAGGTGATAAAATATTTATCTAGGTGGCAAAGTATTTATCTAGGTGTCGTGCGCGTGTAGACACGATCGTAGTGATCAGTCAGAAAAGGTGTACGTGTTGGATGAAAAAGCAAGTTCAGGGGGTAATTAAAACAAAATAAAGTTTAGGTGTACACTGAATAAAAAGTTTCAAGTTCAGGGGGTAATGAATAATTTTGCCAAAAAAATTAATGATTAAACTGATTGTATTTTATTATGTTCATAATTATTTGTATTTATTGAGAAATTTGTATAATGTACTATAATTTTGTATATGTATTATAGAGTGATTTTAACAAAATTTCTTTTATACAAAACTAAACATTATTTGTATACAAATATCTAATGCCCCTCATAAGACTTTGTATATGTTACCTTAATATATGACTCACTATATACATAACTTTGGTAATTGATATACAACTAATAGAATATACAAATAAGGACTATCTCATAATACTTTGTATATATACACTTAATATACAATCCACTAGTTATGTAATTTGTGTATAAATTATACAACCTAATGTTATCGATATTCTTCAGATTTGTCTAGTTCTGATGAGGCAGATTCAATCTCTTCTGAATCAATGTTTATGGCTTTTCTCTTACTTCCACCTTCAACAATCTTAATGCCGCTAAATTTCGCGTTGTTGATGACTTTATGAATTGTCATTTGGTCATTTTCTTTCTTGGATCTCATTCTTCAATAGATTGTTCAACTTGAACTTGTTTATGTTTTGTCATAGACCCTACATTGGCCCCAAAATCACGAGTTAACCCAATCGAAATGAAGGTGGGTTATCAACAACATTGACATGCAATGACATACCTCTCGTAGTCCTCATAGATGGAGAGGAACCATTCATTCCGATTTTTTTGACAGACTTGTAATCTGATTAGTAAAAAATATTTAAAACAAATATATATGAAAGAACTAACAAACATAATACATCAAGAAAAAATATTAAAAGCCAACGAATTTAGTGATTACCTGCGAAAAGTGGAAGAACAATCAAGGGAAAAAGTCAAAATTTTCCCAATTCGAAATTCAAATTAGAAGGGAAGAGTGATTTTAGGAGAAATATATGGAATGAGAATATGAGAGATAAAGTTGATTTTGTATAAAATTATGTAGAAAATCTTTGAATGACTATTTTTATTCCGTATACAAATAGGTAGAGTAAATAAATTAAATTATACCCTTAACTAATTACTTAAGGATGTTTGTCATCCCATGTAATTTTCCATTAAAAGAACATGAAAATTCATCCTATAATTTGATCTAGCCCATTTAGCCCGTTAAAGAACATGAAATCCATCCTTTAACTTGATTTGGGCTCATTTAGCCCGTTAACTACACTAATCAAGGCAAAAGGCTAAGTCAGATGTACTTTCCCTGGCCCCATCCCCACCCCCTTTAACATTAGCTAGGGTTAGCTTGAATTATGTATGACCATAATTTAGTGAGTCGAATTTTCTTAGCCTGACAAGATAATATCATCACTTCAATATTCGAACAATAAAAATTAAAAATCTCATTCAATTGATACATAAATGACCAAAAAAATGAAGGAGTAGACATTAATATTCAAAATATACGTAATCTAAGAACATGGTAAGTAATTTTATAATTTTTTCTATTTATTGATTCATTTTCTTCTGCAATCTTGGACTTCCTCCTCCCTTTCTCTTTCTAGGTCTTTTATGGCCTCTTTGTTGCTGATTTAGATGGGAAATCAACTTTTATAGAAACAACTGGCTTAATTGTGAAGGCTGATGGAGAAGAGAAAGGCAGGAATGACCTGATTTCATTTCGGATTTGAATTCTGACTCGTCTTCACTTTTGAAATCAAAAGAAGATTGAGATTTATGTGGGTTTGACCTGTTTTTTTTAGTATTTGGTCTCTTTTCAATTTGAGGGGTTGTCTCGAGTTCCTCACCATTTTTTAGATTCAGAACTCTTTCTAACCTCAACACTCTTTTTAGCTTTGCCATTTGAGCTATTGTTAACATTATCCTTAACCCCTCCATTACTAGATCCTGGAGCGCCCCAGTTCTCTTCGAGTGCTCAAAACCAGAAAATCCTGACTCTTCGTGAAAACTGGCTCTTCACCATCTTTCACATTAGTCAAAATTTTCTTCTTTAGCCTCCTTACCTTGTCACTAATTTGACTCTTGGAAACTTCAGCCTGCAACTTCCCCTTGATGAATTCATGGAAAGCAGACATGTCGGCACTAGGTTCCATACCTTTTACCGTCTTGTATTCAAGAATCCCTTTGAGTAGAGCAAGCTGGTCATCATCGCTCCAAAGACTCCGGGAAGTAGCAGCAGACTTTTTCTCCTCTTCTTCTGCAACTTTGGGCATTTTCCTACCTTTCTCTTTCTGTGCCTCTTGCGGTCTCTCTGTTGCTGATTTCGATAGGGCAGCAGCTTTAGCAGCAACATTCGGCTTACGAGGAGGAGGAGTTGATTTTTTTTATCCTAATTTTGGTTTCCTTCCTCCCTTTCTAGGTCTTTTGCGGCCTTAAGTTGATTTTAATGGGGCAACAACTTTTGTTGAACCGATGCAGAAGGGGAAGACAGGGAATAACCTTATTCAGATCCTAACTCATTTTCGCTCCTGAACTCAAAAGATGATTGAGATTTTTGTAAGGTTTAAACTGATCTTTATATAATGGATCCCTTTTTAATTTGAAATTTATATCAAATTCCTTATCACTTTCATCACAAATCCCATTCCATATGTGAGTAGTTGTATTGGTGTTATTCATAAATTTCACTTGGAATACACGTCTAAATGGGGAAAGTGATTATCCAATCGTAGAAGGGCGCGGCAATCGATTAATACATTGGCTTTTTGTATAAATTGAGAAAAACCCTACACAAAGCTTTCATCTTTTTGACTCTGCTTCAACACTCACCCATACACACAGTTGACGGCCGAATAGCTCTCTCTTCTTGCTTTCACAAACAATGGCCCCCAAAACCAAATCCCGCTTAGTAGACCAGCCTCCTTCTGCATCATCCTCTGAAGAACAAGAATTGGTGGAGGAATCCCAGGAAGAAGAAGAACAACAATCGAGGGAGGAAGAAGGAGAAGAAGAATCAGGGGAAGAAACTGAAGAAGATGAAGAACCCAAGACATCTCATCCCGTTGTAAAGAGACCCATTTCTCAAAAACTAGTTCAGACACCACAGAAGCCCCAATTTTCTTCTGGAAGCGAAAATGGGTCAGGATCCGATTCGGAAGCGGAATCGGGTAGTTCTCTGCCTTCACCTTCTGCATCGGCTTTCACCGTTAAGCCGAATGTTGCTGCTAAAGCTGCTGCCTCATCGAAAGCAACACCAAAGAGACCACAAGAGGCGCAGAAAGAGAAAGGGAGGAAGAAGCCAAAGGTTGCAGAAGAAGAGGAGAAAAAGTCTGCTGCTACTCCCCGGAGTCTTTGGAGCGATGATGACCAGCTTGCTCTACTCAAAGGGATTCTTGAATACAAGACGGTAAAAGGTATGGAACCTAGTGCCGACATGTCTGCTTTCCATGAATTCATCAGGGGAAAGTTGCAGGCTGAAGTTTCCAAGAGTCAAATTAGTGACAAGGTAAGGAGGCTAAGGAAGAAATTTTTGACTAATGTGAAAGATGGTGAAGAACCAGTTTTCACGAAGAGTCAGGATTTTCTGGTTTTTGAGCACTCGAAGAGAATTTGGGGCGCTCCAGGAGCTATTAATGGAGGGGTTAAGGATAATGTTAACAATAGCTCAAATGGCAAAGCTAAAAAGAGTGTTGAGGTTAGAAAGATTTCTGAGCCTAAGAGAAGTGCTAAAGTTAGCAAACCAAAGGATGATGAGAAACAGAAGGAAGAAGAGAAACAGATTGCCGTAAAAGAGGTGGTTAAGGAGGATATAGTTAAGGGTGATCAACTGGATTTCCAGTCCAAGTATCCACGTTTGGCTGCATCACTTGAAGCTATGTCTGGCTTGTCTAAAATGTATCCTAATGGAACAAGTTTGTTGAAGGAGAAGATGAGTTTGATTGCTACCGACAAGGCTAAAGTGTTGGAGGAGAAGTGGAAGATTCTGGAGGATGATGAAGCTGACTTGATGGTGAAGCGCCTCGATTTCATTGCGGAGCATTACAGATTGGTGGTTGATGCAATGAGAGGTAACTAGATGCTGATGGATCCTGTTCTATTCAATGCTACAATTTGATGAACTTGTGTTTAGCCCGTGAAGTAGAATTAGTTTTTCAGGTTGTTTCATACATTTACTTGCTTATTTAGTTTTACTAGTGAACTGGTGTTTATGATATCGGCTGTGTTGCTTCTTATATATGTTGGTGTGGTATGGAGTGATTGGCTCTATTGTGGAGTTGCAATGAAATGCCTACACATTCCTATCATATAATGTATGATGGAAGCAAGCTTAGGAACAGCTGAAGTGGAATGTCTGGTTCATCTTTTGTAATATGTCATTTCCTATTCTAGATGGAAATATATTTAAATGCGATCTTTCTCAGTTTTTGCAGCTTGTGTTGATTCACTTTGTTCTCAAGTTGTTGTAGCTTGTGTTGTCCTTGGCCTACTTGTTATCTCCTTGCAATGTTGATTCACTTTGTTCTCAATGGTTGTTCATGTAATTGATTCGAGTGGGGGATAGTTACGTTTTCCTCTAGATTTTTCCTTTGGTATAGAGCGCAATGTTGTTTCCTGACTAGACAGTTGTTCAATCCTTGAGGTTTCTAGTCTAGTTATATATCTTAAAGAACTTGAATTATGATAGAGAAATTCCTTACTGGCGCTGCTTATTAGGTGTTTCCTTTAACTGCTGATTCTCTATTCTTTCCTAGTGAAGATATTCTGCAGCGCATGAATGCACACACAGATACACCTTGTATATGTGTGTGCGTGTATACACACTTGGATTTATCATCATTCAATCAACTATATGTCAATCCTACGAGTCTATGACAATTGAGGTCAGTTATATGAATTCTCAATATCCGTTTGTTTTGTTCAGGTCCATTGCAATCCCTATACTGAATAATTAGGTCTTAAAGGACAAATTAAGATAGTTCTAAATCTCCCACTCATCTCTTTATGGTATCTTCTTACTAGTCATCACTCATACAGATCTTTTGGTTCCATTTTGTTCTGTTTTTAACCAAGTCTACATTGATTTCAATAGACTTTAGGGCTTGAAAAAAAATTTCTCCATGCGACTCAATTTCACCTCTTAAAAATCTTTATTATTATTTCGTCAAACCTATAAAACAGTGCATTTTGAAGGTCTTAACACTGGAGGAAGCCATCTAACTTTATCTTCTATATGTACTACCTGCACTCTGTTAGCCCTCCTAATTCAATTGTATATTGCTCTCTCTCTCATACCTTTCGAGGTAGACTCAGAATAGATATCTAAATTGCTCCGTTATGCACCATAGCTCTATGTTACGTAACAATTTTAGCTCTGATTTATGTTTCCTGGAAACATATTTCCCATTTGCTTGCAGTTGCGGAACATCAATTGTGCTGGTTGATGTTGTCGCTCTTTTTTCATACATGCAGAGCATAATCCTGTATGTTCTTTACAAGTCTAGGGTGTGATTCGTATGGCGGAAAATGTTTTTCAGTTTTTCACTCGGAAAATTAGCTGAGGAAAAGGATTTTTCTAATCGAACTAGGGAATCAAGTTCCATATGTGTCATTTCATTCGTTCTCATATCATCTTTTTTGTTTATTTACCGAACACTAGAAAATGCATTTCTTCCCACACCCCAAGTATGCTATCGTGCTTTTGGAGCAGTTGTTTGATTCTTTGCAAATGATCAATCTGTTGCCAGGGCAAATGATTATATTTTCTGTTGATACAATCAAGTGTGATCTTAGATTTAAGATACATATCTTGTAATTAGTTGCGATTATCAATAATATTGTCTACAACACAATCATAGTACCAAAACATCTTCATTACATTACAGCCCCAATAAACAAAAAATAAATAATTTGGATTATAGGGCAAGTAGCATTGAGGCAGTAGAATAATAGGCAACAGCAAAGATGGCATGGATGAAACACAAAATTCCACCAATTGAGAAAAAATGGTGATGTGAAAACCCACAAGAAGCTCTTGATTTGTTGTTTGCCATTGTCCCTATAACCAGTAGTCCCATTCCTATTGCCATTATGATCCTGTAGGGAAAAAAAAATAACCACAAATTAAACCCAACAAAATATATGATCTTCTTATTTGTTTTTATCGATTTTTAATGAGTTAGCTTTTTTGATTAAATAGTTACGGTTCATTTCTTTAAACATACAAGAGTCAAACACATATTATATCTTTGGTTTATTTCATGTTGGGCCTAAATATTACGTTGTTTATGTTTCAGATGTCCAATCTTGAACACATGCATGATGTTTGATCATGTCTAGTCGAAGAAATGAGTCATTCAATGTTCTTTTTATATATAATCTCGAATAATATTCTTTCACCTTGTGAAAAATTAGATCTAAGGTCTCAAACATTTCATAGTAAGAAAAACCAAAGTAAATAACAAAAAAAAAACTCTCCGTTTCAAAAAGAATTATCTCCTTTCTTTTTTGTAAAAGAATGACCCCTTGGTAATACTTTTGTTTTAACTTTCCACGTGACATACTTTGATAAACGAATGAGTTGAAGAGGTACCATGTAAAAACAAGACAAGCCATTGATAGCTTTCTACTTGGGGATGCTTGCTTAATGTCATCAGTAGCACAAACACTGCAGCCACCAAGAAGATTGGCAAGAACATGAGCAATGGCAAGAAGAGATGCTGCAGCCACACCTAGTACAAATGCATCATGGCTTGGCTCTTTACATTCGAATAACCATAATCGAAGATGTTTTTCCTGTTCCAAAATCCCCAAAACACAAAACAAAAAATCAATAACAATTTTTCTACATTCTTAGGTATTTTTATTTGTTATAGCTAGTAATAATTTTTAGAAGTTACTAGTACCACTTTTTATGAATGATTTACCTATACATACTTTTTAGGTGATCTATATTGTTAAGAAGGGAATGGAAAATGTTCTTAACTTATATCGATTTGGACGGACCTCCCACGTGAGATAGCTTTTGAGATTGAGTTAGACTCAGATATCATTTCTTTACATGCTATCAAAATCAGACCCATCTCAATTTGTTATTTGACCGATGTTGGACGCCATTATATATAAGTGTTCACACTACAATTGAGGTCAGTGGCGGAGCCGTGAAGGGGTGTCGACCGACATCCCTTCGTCGCAAAATTACATTGTGTAGTTAGAATAAATTTTTTTTTTTATGTATATATATTACATATTGACACTCCTTGGCTTCTACACGATTTTATTTCTTTAGATTTTGACACCCCTAAGACAAAATTCTAGCTCCGCCACTGGTTGAGGTTTGGGCGTGCGGGGGAATGTTAAGAAGTATCATATCAATAGAGGCATGAGAAATTGCTCTCTTTATATGGACTTGAACAAACCTCTCCTCGTGAGCGAGCTTTTGGAATTGATGTAGACTCTGGCGTTGTATCTTTACTATATATTGGTTAATAGGAGTTAAACTTAAGTCAAATATTATTAAAGATAAATTTCTCTCTACAGATTTGAGTCGTTCGTTATATATAAATAGTAGATGTTGAATTTCTTTAGTAAAAATCCTATCGTAGCAATTTAATTTGTTATATGAAGTTGAAAGAGATACCTGGTTTTGAGCTGCTTCTGCTTTGATTCCAAGAATGCCAGCAATGGAGTCTAAGGCCACAATCAACAAGCAGACAAAAATACCAAACAATTTAGCCATTTTCTCATCAATTTGTTAAGTATCTTCAACACAAAAAATGTATGTAAGTTTTTGTGTTGCACTTTGATACAAGAAAATGCTGATTTTACATAAGATATACCTTAGTATAAATAGGTGAACTTTAATGTAATGGGTTTTCAACTTTTTATTGTTAGTATAAATAATACGTGCTCCCTCCATTCTTTTTTTAATTGTTATTGTTTTTTTTTTTGACAGTTAAACTATATGAATGTTAACTAACAATTTAAGATGTATATTTTAATCATATTGATGTGAAAAAAGTTGCATTATACAGTACTTTTCGTATAGTTTTTAAATATCTAAAAAAAATTATTTTTATAATATCGAAAGAATGTAATTTAATTTAGATTTAAAAATTAATTAAATTTACTTTTGAAAAAAAAATATGCAACATGACAGCTAAAAAGAAACGGAGATAGTATTTGTGTAGCTTTTGAGAAAAGCTTATTTTGTCCTTACAATGGTAGCTTTGTTTGTGCTCTTTTGCCTACTTTTTTGCTCGTCTTTGGATTCCCTAAATTGCATAGAAGAAAAGTTGGGTATAAACCAGCTAAGGAGTTAAAGAATAATGATGTGGCTTAGGCATCTATCAATCACATGAGCAAAGAAAAAAAAAAGGGTAAATTGGTGAGTTTCCAATGCATTTTTTTGACTTTGAAATTAAGGTACATAATACATATATAGGGAATTACATTGAATTGGTAATTTATCTAATTGTTCCTACCAGAGCTAGCTCAATTCAACTCTTCAAAAATAATAATATTTGTGTATATATACACATCTCGGTATTCGATACTTACAGCGATGTCTCAACTATTTTAGATTCAACATGTTAATCCTATTAAAGAGTTCGGTACTCACATTAAGGCCCTAACTATTTTGGATTCGAACACATTAGGCTTACTAAAGGGAGAATTGCACCACAGGAGGAATCTTTCGATTCCAAGATTTGAATCACGATGAAATAACCACAAATATTTTTAAAATAAGCATTTACGTGTTAGAATACTCTAAGAAAACAAGGAATAGAAACAATTTTTTTAAAGTAAATAACACAAATCCATGCTAAATTCCATTTAGCTACGGATTATATGCAAATTCAATTAGATTGGAATTATCTAGCAGCAAGGGATTATCAATAAATTCCGTAGCTAATTTCATATTTTCTATAGGTTGAAAATGACAATAAACTTTATTTTAAAAGATACTACTATTTAATTATTTTTTCTTCTTCTCAGTTTCATAAAAATTATTAATAGAACACTTGTATGATCATGATGCTAAAGAAATTAAAGTAAAGGATCGAAAGGAAGAATAAATGTAAGTTCTACAAGAATATTTTATATAGTTTGCACAAGCTAGCATCAGTGTTCCTTGAGGTAGAAGCAAGAATTATAATCTTTACATAGAACAACTAAAAAGTTAGTTTTCTCATAAGACTAGACTCTGAAAAAGTTGCAACATTTATTTAAATATTAACACTTTCTGATGTGGTTATGTTTCATATTTTTCGTTGGTATATATGCTTGGGGCGGAAGGAGAGTTCTAGCTGCCAGTTCGGATAAATTTAATAACTTTTATTTAGATATTATATGTCTTAAAAAAAGATTTATCAAAAATTATAAATATTAGGAGACCAAATCACCGAAGACATAGGAAGGTGTGGACGGAGGTCACATATTAGGATGAAAGGTTAGTAGATAGTGAAGTGTTGTCTTGTTGTTCGAAGGTTTAGGCCTCGTTCGAGTATGCTTAATACTAGTCTATTCATCTAGTTCTTGCTTTATATATATTTCATGTGTTGTTTATTGAACTCTGAAGGGTAGCTCAACTGGTAAAGGCTTGAGGACAAAGTCCTTCAGGTTGCCAGTTCGAGCCCCAGCAGGGCCACTGGAGGCATTACAAATTGGCCGCGTCTTCAGAGCTCAGTGGAACTAACCGTGGTGCACCCGCCTTGAAACAGCGGGATCCGATAGATATAGCTAATCGGATTCGCAAAGCAATATTCGAAAACTACGGCAAAAAAAAAATTATTTATTGTGTTTCTATCATCACATTATTTTGTTGTTGTTCCTTTCTGGTATATATTTTACAATGTACTTGTTATAATTGTTTTGCACTTGAACATGTACTAAATAAACAATCTCTCAACGATTCTATCTTCACAAGATAATATAAAATTTGCGTACAATATTCTACTAGTGGAAGTCCATGGAATATGTTTGTTGTTTGAAGACCAAATTGGTTCAGATATCAAATTGGGCCTTTTAGTTTGTGTTTTATACACAGATTCTAAAAAGGAACATGAGGCATAGTCCATAGCACAAATATTCACAAATAACTTGTGGATCTCCCGAGCAATTTTTTTATATATATTCTATTTTAAAATTGATCTAAATCAAATTGAAATTTGATATATTACGTTCTAAACAATTTTAAATGATTAAATTCAATTCAAACTTTTAAAATCAATAGCTTCGCTTATCTCTCTCCTTCCGCCATCAATCTCATCATAATCCAACCAATTTTTCTATACAGCACAAGTTTTGCAAATGTTTATAAACTATTTGCATAACTTTTATTAAAAAAATGGCCAAAAGTTAAAACACCGGTCCTTATGAAGGATATACTTAAGGGCCCGTTTGGATAACCAAACTGTGTTAAAACGGATCCAACAAATTCGGACCCTAAATTTTGGCCCGGTAAATTTGTTCTTTCTCCTCTCGCGATTTTCTGTCTTCCATTGAAATCGAGCTCTGTAAGTTATTATTTTTATCTTCGAATCTATGTCGCTTACGATCCAAAAACCCTAACACTTTTTGCTGCTATACATAGAAAACCCTCGTTTGTGCTTTTCATGCTTGTATGTTGATTAATGAAGTTGCTCTACTTTGTTTGTTCAATTTGTCTTGTGTCTTGGAATATCCAGATTTTCTGTTAGAGCTGTTTCATCAATCTGAATCAATGAGGTTAAAATAATGAGAAGAGAAGCTTAACAATCTAATACTTGCTTATTTGTCAATCTATACATACCATTTAACCCCAGGTATTAGCTCAATTGCCATGGTTTAAGGGACTTGTCTAGGTTACAAGTTTGAGTCCAGTGGAGAAGGGTAGAGGGGTAACCCATATCTTATCGAGTTTTGAAGGCTGTGATCAGTCATAGCCGTCTAGAAATAGCAGTTTGTTATGTCAAAGGTGTCCAAAATATGTTATTTAATCATTTTACTTGAATGTATGCTAATTTTTGCCGACAAAGGACACCCTTACTACTATGTGGCTACGCCACTGGCTGTGGTTGGCCTAAAGGGTTAGTTCTAGACGGATTTCTTGGGTATTTAAAAAAAGCTATACATATCATTTAGGAACATAGTTTCATTTCCACGAAACGAGTTTATTGCCATTATTCATGTGTTGGGAATATGTTCTGTAAATGCCTTAAGTTAGTTTTAAAACTATTTTGATTGTTCAGCCATCTTTGATTGTGTTGTTGTATGAACGGATGAGCTTTCCGCAATTTGAAATCCGTAATCCTTTTGTTTATTCATTCATAAACAGGGTACCAGGCTAGGGTCCCATAATGGGTGTGGAACCGCAAAAAGACCAACCGAAAGAGATGGACTGGAAAACTCTGGGTGGAACGGAGAGTAGTGAGGCTAATGTTGGACCAGCTGTGAAGAAACGGCTTCCAAAAAGGATTCGACAAGTTCCTGAGTATTATTTTCTTCCACGAAGATCCTTACCATACTCCATCGCCTTTTATGGGTCGTTTATTGCTGCAGGTGTTGGTGCAGGAATGCTACTCGAAGCATGGATCAATAAGAAGGTAAAAGGTAATCATATACTGCTTTGATTCAGATCAAATTTTATTGCGTATATGTATACTGTTTCCACTTTAACACTTTGAGCTTACATCAGTAGCATGTTTTATACATAGCATATAAAGCCTTTTCACGAGTCCATTTTGGGATCTCAAGAGACATGTATGGTGTTGTAATGTTTAGAAGTCTATCCCTATACGATAACGAAATACTAGAGGAAAATTCTCAATTTTTCGATCTGGGTGTTAGATTGTCATAAGATTTCTACTCTATTTTTTCTTCTTGTGCAATTGAGAGTGATTCATATTGATGTAATATACTCGGAAAGTCCTTTTGGGATGCGAAAGACAAAAGGATAATATTTACGGCATAGTCCTGATCTCGGAGAGTTCTTCAGGAACTGATCTCTTGCACAAATTACACTCCCTTTTATGCACCTATAATCCGTGATCTTACTTCAGAGAACGTTATACTAGCTGACGCGCTGACTTTAGAAGAGTATATATCGAGTAACAATGACACGAAAGAAGAGTAGTGTATTGGTTCTTAGCTACTTGTTCTCTTGCTTCTTATGTTTCTGCCTCATCTATCATTCAATCCATTTTTTTCTATAATCCACCTTGCTCGAACACTTTTCTAGAGATTGAATTGAACCCTTCACGCGTTTGGGAATTATTGTGGTTAGGCGTATATCCTCATTTGGAACTCGAAAGTCTAGGAAACCATATTGTTAAGCTTTCCCCAAAAGCCAAATCCACTTTAACGGTGTCTTAATGCCTAACCATCTGACAAATTCTAGAGAAGACATTAAGACGCTCAATTGATTTCTGTCGACACTCAGAAACCTATTCAAACTCAGCAATCATTTGTCATGTATTTTTCATCTACACTGATTTTCTCTTGTTTGTTCTTTTAAATTACTTTGTTGTCTGATGGCAGAGGATGGAGGAGTCATTTGGGAGTTCGACAAGTGAACGATGTGTTCTTTTCATGTTTGGATTGCTACTGCTTTTGCCTCAAGGAGTTCACTGAAGATGAATAGCATAACCATTACTACATGATGATAAATGCTTCTTCAGCATCCAATTCAACTTGTAGGTTGTAATATTTCAGGTGCACAGTGCAGAACAGATGTGTTGAATTTGGCAAACAATACTAAAACATTAGGTCGTATTTTTACCTTAATAGCTTAACCTTTGAATAAATAGAGAGGCCAGGCAAGTGGCCTTCCTATGAATATACCCTGATACTGAATAGTTTCGGAAACAACATCTCTACCTTCACGAGCTAGGTGTAAGGTATTCGTACACTCTACTATTTACAGTTGTTGTAGTACGACTTTTCATTTCCTGTTCGGTCTTTCAATAAGTAGTCAGCTGCGGGCGTAGTCAGACTTAACATTATTGCTGGACCCTGCATGTGGGACCATAACGGGTATGTTGTTGAACACTGAATGAACAGGTATAGTAATATTGGATATTGAGCAATTGAACATCAATGTAACTATAGCCATTGAGGTTCTCAGGCCAATTTTGAGCTACCTACAATGATTGGAAGAAAAAAAGGCAGGAGGAAAATACTGACCAGATGGAATGGAAATGACGAAATTCATAAAACGCGAGTCTATACATTTAAATTTAGATATCGATTTTTGAGTTTTCGATAAACACATCGTTAAATCGAATTTAAAGATGATTCATGTCACGTGCTTTACATGTAATGATTAGGAAAAAAGAGAAAAGACTAACACTACTTCATAGTTAAGTGCAGTTAACAATTTCTCAAATCTACAGAGTTTCTCTTCACTCCTATGGGCTAAACTTTCACTATTTTTTCAACCAAAAAAGGAAACAAAAAAAAAAGGATTTCCCAAATTAACTATGAGCACCTGAGAATCGTCTTGTTCAAGAGAGCATGCCGGAAAGAAACAAAGATCGTCGGTAGAAAGCGTTTCTCTGAGCAATTGTCCTGTACTGAACCAGCTGTTCTACGGAGTAAACGCAGCAGCCTTTTGAGTAGAGATACGTCTGAGCAACAGGCGAGTTCAGTAAAACCTGTAAAAGCTGCTGCCTGTTTAGCCTCGCTAGTGTCCCAAAAACGCTAATTGCCTTCGCTTCATGATTTAATCCATAGCTTGTACTTTTTCCATTTCTATCCTGATCGGAAGAAGCACCTCCTTCTACCAGCGGAGGCATGCTTTGTAGGACGTCAATTTGCGCCTGTAGAAACTTCACGTATTTGTACGCCTCTTCTAGCATAGTTGACGTATCCATTTTCTTGTCCCATGGCAATAGCTTCTCTAAACATCTTATTTTCTCGCTTAGCTTCTGCCTTCGCAATCGAGTTGTAGATGAACTATACGGCTGCCTGTTTTTTAGGAGGTTACTCATTACTTCTGAAACAGGCCTCACCGGTTCGACGACTCGGTTTTCTGTTGTGACCAGTGATGAAGAGAAATCCAAATAGTTTGGTTGTTCCATGCAACGGAGATCTGGAAGACTGGGGTATCCAACACCGTTAGAGAAGAAGTTGAACGGCTCACACAACAAAACCTCATTGTTGTATGGATATAACTGGAGATTATCAGTTACTGGTTCTAGTTTCGGGTATTTCAACTTTTGATCAGCATCTGGATTGATCTCCGTCTTCTTATCAAGCCATGCAAAATCTCCAGTAGAGAACTCATGAAAAGTCCCCGAACTTTGCTGGATTTGAGAAGAAGCAGTAGTACCAGCGCAGAGCATATCATTGGTGAAAGAAGGGCGAAAATTAGATGAATTAGCTGAAAAAGGTTTCACTTCGCCATAGTAGCTGTGGTCGAGGTTCAAACTCAACAGAGACTGATAGCTCAATCCATTATACATGCCGTTGATGAAGGCTTCATCAGACTCCATAAGTGGCAACAATAACGCTTCTCCGGCATTAAACTCCGGTTGAACGAGAGGTAATTTTCTCTCCATAGCCCTCACACAAAACACGCAGAAAAATACAAGGGATATTCCATAGATGGTATCTGTGATTCCGGTAGTGTATATAGGGTATTAAGGGACACGTGGTGGGATATGACTAGAGGTATATAACCGACAATTAGCTGTGCGTACTGTTGATACTGTCTCTAAAATGTGTACTATGCCGTTTCATTCGAAATTCGTTTCTTTTTTTTGGCCGGTAGAGTTAAGCCCGTTGATTAGATTTTGATCCAACGGTGGAAATGTAGGTTCCTGCCCGTAACATGGAAAGCACCTCATCGGATACGAGCTCCTCTGGATAAGGACAAGAAAGAAGTGAACTACTCATAAAAATGGAGGGTTAAAAAAGAAATAAAAGTGAAACAGAAAGATGAAAAGGTAATAATTGAGAACACGTCACTGTAGAAAGTACCTTGATTTGGCAGATACGGATAACGCTGTAAAACTTTGCCGTTATCATTTCTGCCATTTTACAAACTCAAAAAAAAAAAGAACAAATTATTGCACCAAAACTGAATATCTACTTAATCCATTTACATCTAAAATAAAGATTAGGAACTCATTCACTAATTTTTCTTTTCCCATGACAATGAATTACATATTACAAAACTGATCAAGAATGAAAAAGGGAATAGAAACTGTACACAAGAATCAAGTGACGAACCAGGCGGCATAAAGAAATCAAAGACTAGAAGCAATCACCTATTCTCCCCCTTCCCAATAAGGGGAGGGATTCGATTCTAACATCGAAAACCTTTTCTCTAAGCAATCAGTATCCTAACAGCGAGTGTGGTCCTACTAATGCAGCTCCGAAAAATTTCATCTATCCCACTTGGCCTGAAAGATTGCAGGTCTATGCTTAAGCCAATGTACCATCTCCCTTTCTAGGGGAGACTTGTTTAAAATACCATCCAGCATAGGACTGCCAAATACATTGGGACTATTCTTAAATGACCATATCCGATCCTTTGGCCATGCTCTCTGCGGCTGCTTCTCCTGCCAAGATAAGAAGAAAGAAACTTGAGTTGAGGGGAAGCTGTACAGTATATAATAAATGCAACACTTGAAATTGACTAAAGCTATACAGACAAGCTTATCAAGCTATGTAGTTCACAATATTCATTGGCTGCCCAGTGTTGCCTTCTAAATGTTAGGTGGGGTGTCTGGCTTTTGCCAAGATTAACAATGAGATGCATAGGGGGAAAAGGAAGAAACTCACAGCAAGAGAAGACAACCACAATATATAACAGCAATGTGATCAACAACTAAGTCACACTTATATTATTCCGAGTATATTCTTCCTAAAGGGTATTGGGCATGTTCTGCTTAGAAGGCATTCCTCTACTAAAACATATGGCATTGAGCTGTAGGTTTCTTCTGCAATAGACAACAGACTAAAATAGAGGCTGCTCTTCTGAAACTAACACAAGGCTTACCATTCTAGACAGCATGAACTTCACAGTCCTTGGGCCGTAAACACGTTGCCGGGACGGCTTCTGGACTTTAGCATAAAAAGAGCCAGCTTCAGGTAAAGACAAGCAACCCCTGCTCGCCTTGAAAAGACAATTCTCCGGATCTGCATTAGCTTGGTTATACCAATAAAACAGCTGTCCTAAGCAATAATTTTCACCATATGTCTTGCGATACTCGTGAGTACCAGGTCCCAGCTTATCAGTATATTTGGGTCCCAGGTCTAAAGGACTTATATATACAGGAGGTGACGTTACAGTCTTGTATTCCTGCAAAGAGAGAAGATATACAAGTCAAAACCTACACAATGCCCAGTGAAAAGGATATACCAAAAAGAAGTTTTGACAGGATCAAGTAACATACTCGTATCCTAAAAAAACACTTTGTATATGCATATAAATGAATCAAGTCAGCAGCAGCATCATGTCGAGATTTGTATGTGCATGGAAGATCTCGGACCTCATCTCTCAACCTAGAACAAGGATGTGCAAGTCAAGAAAATTGCTCTTTGATAAAAATAAATAGCTAGAATATCATGGTTGACAGTTGACACTACTCACCATATTAAGGATTTTCGAAGGCCCGTCTCGAGATCATCTGACCTGGATGGATCATGAGCTCGAATCTTGGCCTTGAGATCGTTTAGCATACTATCTTCCAAATGAGGAGCCATACATTGAAGCAGTTCCTCAACAAGAGACCCCTCTCCTCTCCAGATAAAAGAAACAGCCTCTTCAGGATTAAGCCTCTCAAGAGGAGGGGGAGCCTTTTCGGGGTCACCGAAAACACATCTCATTACATAACGCACCTGCCAAAAGCACATCAGCAGCTCTTAGATTTAACTTTATCTCAATACATCAAAAGAAGTCCTCAGCAGCCAATTCTTAAACAAGAAAAACGGAAGGAAATGTAAGGATGACTTGGTCAAAAAGGAGAATCGAACCTTGTCAAGAGTCAGAGCCAAGTTCTGAAGCCTTTGATTGTAAACACCCTCAGCCTTTATTATTCAAGAAAAGATAATAATTATAAGACGAAACCTTTGCACATGCAGATAGAGGGAATAGAAATGGAAGTATAGAACTCCATCTGACATCATGCATTGCATACTAACCTGAATCTCGGATTCGTTTTTCTCAACTTCCAGACAAACATCTGAAAAGTATTTCTTCTTCTCTTCCAAATTATGTTTGAGTATCTCATCGGGAAGCTTCGTCCTCTCAAAATTGATAAACCTCACCTTCAATAATAGCATATAATTCAGATAATGCTTTAAAAAAAATAAACAATGGTAACCTATAATCAATTCAAAGCAAAAGCATACCAAACGAGCTGAATAAGCAATCAACCAATGTGGCAGACCAGCAAGTAAACAACTTCCAAGTCCAGCTTTACCAAGATCAATGTAATCTTCTTCAGAAACTGAATTCAGTTCGCACGCCTCTAGCATCAGCTGGTGCCGGTTAAGTAACCCATGGTACTCCTGGAGCACCTGCATTCAACAATAATGATTCAGGTGAGGAGAAACAGGACTACTGAAAGGCATTAAATATGACTTACAAACAAAAGTTCTCATTCAAATGATCAAAGCATCCTTCAAGTAAAAAATGTGAAAATTCCAAAACACCAAATAACCTCAGTCATATAACAGCTTAAGGAGAAGCCAAAGTTAAGATAATTCTTCAAAACTAAGATGGAGAATGTACCTTCAGGAAAGCCCCTTCACCTGTAAGATTCAAGTAACTTCCACGGCACACCTGGCTGCCGCATAAACAGACAGACGCTTCATACTCTTCTTTACTCTGTAGCATGAGACACCACCATTTAACCAAAATTATCCACAGAAAGGAAAAAAAGAGAGGCCCTATCCT